GGTTTTTATACCTGGATGAGATAGATTGTGCAGAGTATTAAAAATATGTCGTCTATGTTCAGCAGGAACATAAGGACGTAATCGATTTTGAGATATGTCGCAATATAATTGTTCTTTGGTTCCTGGAATAGCGATGCGTTTCAGGTTGAGAGCAGTATCTGATTTTAAGAGCGTTACCAATTCTTCATCTTCGTCTTGCGATTTAGCAATAACGGAGTGATCCAAAGGCGATGTTATGGCTTCTGCTCTTGAGAAAGCGTCGGCTACAATGTTTTGTTGTCCACTAACATAGCGAACATCTGTTGTAAACTGCGACAGAAAACTTAATTGATTTAATTGTATTGGCGGCAGCTTGTCCTTTCGCTGGGAAAAGGCGTGAATTAAAGGTTTGTGGTCAGTAAACCAAATGAAATGTCTCCCTTCCAGTAAGCTTCGAAAATGTTGCACTGCTTCGTATCCAGCCAAAAGTTCTCGATAATATGCTGGCCAAAGTTGTTGTTTCTCAGATAGTTTTTTTGAAAAGAAGCCCAAAGGTTGCCAAGTGCCATTGATGTACTGCTGTAATACTGCACCGATAGAATGGTTGGATACATCGCTAAATAATGCTGTTTGAGCATTTGGAACTGGGTGTGCTAGTAATGTTGCTTTAGCCAATTCCTTCTTACATGTCTCGAAGTTATCTTGAAGCTGTGGGGTCCAAGAAATTGGTTGTGATCCAGATTTGGTAGATCCTGAGAGCAGCTTGTGTAGCGGAGCAAGAAATTCAGCTATGTGAGGAATAAACCTTCGATAGTAATTAATCATTCCTATGAAGCGACGCAGCTTTGAGTAGGTTGCCGGTAGCGGATATTCTTGGAGATCGTTGATACGGTCTTGTGGTGGCAAAGTTCCATCTTTAGAAATTTCATAACCAAGAAATGTAACTTTGGGTGCACCTAATACGCATTTCGCTGGATTAATGACAACGCCGTGGTCTTTCAGGCGTTGAAATAATTGGCGGAGGTGATCTTGGTGTTCTTCTAGCGATGTAGATGATATAAGAATATCATCTAGGTATGCGTAACAAAAATCCAGACCTTGTGTAACCTCATCTATAAATCGCTGAAATGTTTGTGCTGCATTCCTTAGTCCAAAAGTCATATACGGGAACTCAAACAGCCCAAATGGTGTTATTATTGCTGTTTTTGCAATATCATCAGGATGGACTGGAATTTGCTTAAAGGCTTTCACTAAGTCGATCACTGAAAATATAGTACATCCTGCTAAATTATGGGCGTAGTCCGCAATATGACGAACAGGATATTTGTCTGGAATTGTGCGTGAGTTGAGTAGCCGATAATCTCCGCATGGACGCCACGTCGAATCCTTTTTCTGTGCCAGATGTAGAGGTGAAGACCAAGAACTATCGGAGGGTCTTGCAATGCCTAATTCTACCATATTCTTAAATTCTTCTTTGGCTACGCGAAGTAATTCTGGCTTGAGGCGCCGTGGTCCAGAAGAAACTGGAGGTCCTGGAGTGGTTCTGATATAATGAAATGTTTTGTGTTTGCTTTCTTGACACAAGTCTGATGGTCTGGTGATGGATGGAAAATCAGCTAATAATTTATTGTAAGCACTATCTCCAAATATAGACTTGACACTTTGTATCCGAGAGAATGTGACACATCCTGGAGATGACAGTGATGTCAGGTTGTCATGTAGACGAGAATTCTTTATATCGATAATGATATTGTAGTACGCCAAAAAGTCTGCTCCAAGTATAGGCATTGTTACGTCTGCTACGATGAATCTCCAAGTAAAATTTCTTCTTAGTCCAAAATCTAATTGTAAAATAATATCCCCGTACGTGCGTATGTTGGTTCCATTGGCTGCAGACAAAGTATAGTTTAGTTGAGGATTAGGTTTAGCAGTTAAGCGCCTTGGATACACGCAAACGTCTGAACCTGTGTCGACCAAAAACTGTACCTTAGTTCTGCGATCACTTATGAAGAGGCGACGGCTTGATGAAGAGCAAGGATAGGTCGCCATCACTCCTTGCCGTTGGAGTTTTCCTCTCTGAACGAACAATGACTCTCGCATTTTCTTGCCTTCTTTCCGAATTTGGCGTGGTACCAACAGAATGTTTTTCGGTTGCGCGATCTAGAAGTACTTCTCGGCCTGAAGAAGTGGTTAGACCTGTCTTGTCGAAATGGGCTACAGTTTCTATGTGCTGATAGGTTGAGTCTGCTACGATAGGTTAACTTGGCTAATTGCTCTGTAAGATCTTCCACACGCTGTGTTAGTTGATCATTTTTATCAATTAGTTTTTGTATGATGTCTTGCTGTTGGTTGTTACTAGTTGCTGCGACTACTGGTGGTTGTGCAATCTCACATATTTTGTCGGCGAGCGATGCAAGTTCTTCTAGGTCTGCATTGATCTGGGTTTGCAATATTTGTTGAGTCTGTACCGGTAGTCGTTGAATCCAGATTTCTCGTAGGAGTGAATTGTCGACTGTAGTTGTTCCGACCAATGAACGAAGGTGACGTAGGAACTGAGAAGGACTTCGATCACCAAGTTCTTCTTGCAAAAGTAATTGCCTTATCCTTTGCCGTTCGGAAATTGATAGCCTTTTGATTAATTCCTCCTTTAGTTTTATGTATTTATTCTCTGCAGGCGGAGAATTTATCACGTCCTCAATCTGGAGTAAATATTTGCAATCTAGGTGAGCTATTACAAATTCATATTTAGCCAGGTCATTGATGATGCGGCATCGAGAAAATATTGCTTCGGCAATTGTGAACCACAATGTCGGTTTCTCACTTAAAAATGGCGGTAGATGCGGAGTGCGTGAGATTGCATCCAGTTCCCCTTTAGTGTCCTGCATGTCTTTATTCATTGTTTTTTATTGTCTTCTGTACGGATAGTGCTCTATAGTAATTCAGCTCACACCAATTATGTGGTCCAATTCAGCGTCGGGGTCACCAATTATGTGGAGTGGTCCCACATATAAAAATCAAGACACTATAAATGAAAAATAAAGTTTATTACAAAATTATAATAATTTACAAAATCTTCTTGGTCGAATACCGGTATTCTTGGTATTCCTTGGTTGGACTCCGTAGTTTATCTAGGTGTTGCCTGCTCGACCAGTAGAAGAGAAAAGAGATCGAGGACGGTAGCTGCTTTGGTTATATACCTGGTAGCCTGACCCCCTCCACGCATTAGGGTCCCTAATAGTGTGGAGGCTAGTGTAGCTCTTTACTACTATTTTTCAATAGTAGGAGAGCTAGTGTCGCTGCATGTCTCTAGAGTCTTTCTCAAAGTGGGCGATATCGCCCCCTGGTGGGCGATATTGATCTCCAAGGGGGCGATGAAAGGCCACGCCAAAAATGTTCGTTGTTGACGTTGGGTTCGGAAGCATTTGTAATTTTATTTACTTTACATTTTAAAGTTCACCAGAATTTGTATCCCAACGATTAATTGGTATTTTATAAGTTTGGTCGTGTTTCTATGGTGTTTAAATGAATTTGATATCATTTTTTAGCTTTTTTACCAAAAAATTGGCTAGCAAAAGAAAATTGTCTGACCCGCTTTTACAATCTGTTTGACTTTGTTGTAGAGTTTTTAGAAAATAAGGACACACAGTTGTGTAAAAACCTGATATCATTAAAAAATTATATAGCATATCTCACAAACCTTTATGCAATGCTCAGCAATATGAATCTACAACTTCAATGGCTTGAATTTAATAAAAACAAAAAATATCATCGCTGCTTTTGTAGCCAAACTGTTATTACATAAGAAAAATATTAGAAAACGGGAGTTTCATAATTTTCTAAATTTATCGGTATCGTGCAACGAAGACTTGCTCGTATACTGCCAGCATTCAGAAAACCTTCATGGCAATTTTATTGAAAGATTTCAAGGTATTTTAAATTTAGAAATACCAGGCTGGGTATTAGATCTTTTTTCAAATACAAATGTAGAAACATCAGCCCAGCTAGACGAATAGCTTATAGAATTAACAACAAATGAAGAATTAAAAACCAAACTTAAAGATGGTTATCAACAATTTTGGCTACAGAAGTTAATTCAGCAGCTATACCATAGCTTGTGGTCGCTTGTTTCAAAAAATTTTACTAGCATTACCATCGTCATATTTGTGTGATCGTGGATTTAGCGCTGTGACATTGCTACTTACTAAAAACAGAAATCAGTTGCAAATTACCAAACGCGGTGACTTACGACTGTTTTTGAGTCAAATGGAACCTGATATTGACAAACTTGTAAAAAATCATCAAATTCATCCTTCTCATTAGAGCTTGAAACTAAAATTTGATATACTGTTTCTGTTAATTTGATTATAATATATAAAATAGGGTCCGCCATCTAACTTTTTCTTTAACTAGTGCTTATTTCGTGAATGGTAACACTTAGCTCATGCCTGATTTGACAGATAATTAGTTTTATCCTTCAGCTGAACGAATATGGTTGTGTATACGCTTGAACAATGCTGGGAAATATTGCGACATTACTTTGAAAATCATGGTAATATTGCAGAATGTGTTCGAAAATTGCGTACGGATTTTGGAAGAAAAGAAGTACCGTCAGCTCCGTATGTTTGTTATCTTGTGAAAAAAGTGGAAGAAACTGGCATCTTTATCGATAAACCAACGCGCGAAAAGCCAAAAACCGTGCGTACACCCGAGAATATTGTGGCAGAAAGTGTGCGTGAAGCGCCATCAACATCAATCCACCGTCGTTCTCAGCAATTGGACATTTCGGAGACATCATTGAGACGAATTTTGCATAAAGACCTTGGCATGACGCCATACAAAGTCCAATAGGTTCAGGAGTTGAAGCCAACTGGCCACCCAATGCGTTTTCGCTTCGCTAAGTGGGCTTGCGATCGACTTACATCTTTTCAGATGAAGCTCATTTTGATCTTGGCGGGTATGTAAACAAAAAAAATTGGCGCATTTGGCGCACAGAAAACCCGCACGCATACATTGGTAAGCCGATGCACCCAAAACGAGTCACTGTTTGGTGCGGATTTTGGTCCAGAGGCATAATTGGAATCTTCGAAAATGAGCAAGTAGTGACCGTGGCTGTCAATGGCAATCGTTATCAGGCCATGTTGAACGAATTTTTGTTCACAAAAATTGAAGAGGAGGATATTGGCAACATTTGGTTTCAACAAGACGGCGCTACGTGCCACACAGCCGAAGCTACACTCGATGTTTTGCGTCCTGTTTTTAAAGATCGCATTATCAGCCGCAGAGCTGATCTCGTTTGGCCACCTCGGAGCTGTGATTTGACACCGTTGGACTATTATTTGTGGTATGCCGTCAAAGATAAGTGTTACGCCGACAAGCCAGAAACAATTGACGCTTTAAAGGACAATATTCGTAGAGCCATTGGTGAAATACAGCTGCACACAATCGATAATGTACTTAAAAATCGGACCGATCGTGTAGGCTACTGCATGGCTAGCCGAGACAGCCATTTCAATGAAATTTTTTTAATTTATTTTTTTATTATTAACCGGAAGGATTGTACTTTCAAATGAAAAAAGAAATTTGAGAAAATATTCAGTAGTTTTTTTAAAGCATTTTCCAAAAAAAAAGTTATTTGGCGGATATGATTAATGTCATAAAGTTGCGTTTTATTTGCTCTCACTGGTAAAAATGTCTAATTTAAAATGAAAGGTTGCATCAACTAATATATCACACTATAACTATATTAATAAAAGTAAAACTAGTAGGGCGCATGGCATCGTGCTTTAAGGCAAATTGCTGGAACTTTCCGTACCAATTTTTTTTTTTTTAAGTATTAATATTTTTGAAAAAAATTTACTCTGAAAAATTAGATTTTTTTTAAAGATTAACATTTTTGAAAAAAAATTATTTATTTCAAACAAAAAAATTTGAAATAGATTTTTGAGAAACTATAAATTTTTGACAAATATTTACTTTTTTGAAAAAAAGACTTTTTGAAAAAAATTGTATTTTGAAATATTTTGGAAATTCTGAAGTTTTTTTCAAAGCAATCGTACTGCTTTAACTGCATAGAGACGAATAATCAAAGCGCGTAGGCGCCGCGCCGCCGTCTAACTGATAACCATTGGTACGAAACCCATAGAAATGTAAACAAAATTTATACTTATTGTTAAAATGTCTATAAAATATCTGATAATTTGATGTGCATTTGTCTAATGATCATTTTTGACCGCCAAATGGCATTTTTTTTTACTTTTTTCACAAGATCTCCGAAACCGGTAGAACTGCCTTCATGAAAATTTGACCAATTCTTCATCCTGTTAATACAAGTAAAATGTTTTTTGAATTATTAAAATCGAACGCTCCGTTCTCTTAAAAACTGAGGTACCGTTTTTGGCACTTTTTGCCCCATATCTTCTAACTAACTTTTTGTTTTCTATTACTTCTTGGATTCTTTGCTCGAAGCTCTACAATGAATAGAAGGGGAACTAAAATTGACTGAAGCGTTCTTAGTGGTTATATTGAGCACTACGGTAGGCTATTATAACCAAAATAGTGAACAAATACTCGTATAATATTATTTTATTTCAAATTTAAATAAATCGAATAAAAATAAGACGCTAAAGTTGTTATGCAGTAGACTGTAAAAACAACAGTAGAAAAATAGAGTGTAAATTCTATAAATTTCCTATAGCCAAATCAACGTGAACAGTGGATAGCTGCTAATTAGCTAACTTTAATTAAATGATTAAAAGAACTAGTGGGGTGCATGTCATAGTGCTTTAAGGCAAATTGCTGGAACTTCCCGTACCGTAATTAAAAATCTTGGTACAGAAACCAAACAAAATTACACAAAATGTGTACACATTATCTATAAAATATCTGATATTCTGATGTACATATGTCCAATAAACGTTTTTGACCGCCAAATAGCATTTTTTTAACTTATTTTTATTGAAAGTCCATAACCGCTAGACCTGCCTTCCCAAAAATTTAATCAGTTTTTTATCTTGTCAATACAAGTAAAATGTTTTATGAATTATTCAAATCGGACGCTCCGTTCTCTTAAAAACTGAGTTACCGTTTTTGGCACTTTTTGCCCCATATCTTTGGAACGGCTAGACCTGCCTTTGCCAAAAACTAATCAGCACGTCTCCTTATCAATACAAATCGAATGTTTTTTAACTTCCCGTAGGGTAAGTTATTGTAATGGGCCGAAAATCGGAATTGAAAATTTTTACATTTCTCGACGTTTTGAAGGTTTCTGAACATTTTGGCATACCTCAGAAAAAATGGATGTGTGTGTGTGTGTGTATGTGTGTGTGTGTGTATGTATGTGTGGATACAAATTTCCAGTCACGTTTTAGGGCGCACGGATCAACCGAATTATCTTGTTAAGACAAGCAGAAAGTTTTTTGAATCATTCAAATCGAACGCTTAGTTCTCTCAAAAACTGCCATTTTTTACATATTTAGCTCCGCATCTTCGAAATGGCTAGGCCTGCTTTTGCCAAAAACTAATAAACACTTCTCCCAATCATTACTATTTGAATGTTTTTTAGATCATTCAAATCGGATACTCCGTTCTCTCAAAAATTCGATTTCTATTTTCTGCACACTTCGCTTCGTATCTCTGAAACGGCTGGACCTGCCTTTGCCAAAAACTAATCAGCTTTTTTCCCTGTCAATAGAAATCGAATATTTTTTTAACCATTCAAATCGGTTGATCCGTGCGCCCTAAAACGTGACTGGAAATTTGTATCCATATGTGGGAGTTGTAATTAATATTAAAGTATAAACTCCCAACGTATAAAAATATATAAATTTTATTCATTATAAAATATTACTGATATCAAAAATATAAAATGACAAGTCCAATTGTTTTTTTACAATCACTAGCCTGCTTGATTTCCCCACACACTCCCTGCCCAGTGTTGACCTCACAGTTTAAAAAGAAAATACAGGGAAACACGTTATAAAAATGTGGTGGGAAAGCAGATTATAGCAGTGTTGTGATACTGGTCAATTACAAATTTTCATGTTTTGTCAGCAGATCCACCGTATGTGGTAATTCGACCTTTCATCAACTCTATATTCTGTATAAAGTTCTCACTAAAAAAAACATGTGGAAAATTTCCTGAACCCCGATGTCGGTGAACTTCTAAGATTCAGCTTTGATCTAATTGGTATTAGTTATATCAGAATTACTTAATGTTTGGAATGCATAATTTATGGGTACAGTTTCCATTTCTGCAGGCGTTGCATTCGTATCTGATGGGTTCTGATCAGAGAAGTTGGCTCTTTATCCAAATCAGGATCATTGGTTTCATTAACATAAGAGTCCAGAATTGTGGAATCCAATAAATAATTTATGTCAAATTTTGTTTTGACTCGTCGCTGTCACCGATAATGGGAGGTAGCATCAAAAGACGATTTGTTGAGTTAATGGACGAGAAGAGGTTGAATTGCATTCCAATGAAAAGTCCAGGCTCCAAATTATTTTTTTGTCAGCAATAAACACTGAGGTCTGGGTATACCAAATGAGTAACCACGAAAGTCCGATCCAGATAGTAAGTGCGTTAACTATGATGAATCGTGGACTGGACGTACCTTATAAGTCGTTTCTGAAGACCAGTGATTATGGTGCTGCGTCAAAATTCAAATTGCTTAAATCCTCGAAAAATAAAACTCCTTTTTTGTCTTCATCTCCATCGTCGTGAGTCACCAATGTGGGAGTAGTAATGGATATGAAAGTAAAAAACTCCACTTGAATAAAAATATATGAAATTTATTGATTATAAAAATATTACAATATCAAAATGTAAAATGACAAGTCCAATGGTTTTTTTACAATCACTAGCCTGCTTGATTTCCCCACACATACATACATACATACACACACACACATACACATCCATTTTTTCTGAGGTATGCCAAAACGTTCAGAAACCTTCAAAACGTCGAGAAATGTAAAAATTTTCAATTCCGATTTTCGGCCCATTACAATAACTTACCCTACGGGAAGTTAAAAAAAATCTAGTATTTTAGGCGTCCATCGCGGACAAACAACGTGACACTAACCTCATATATATTAAGATATAATATCTGATAAATATATATATATATATATATATATATATATATATATATATATTAAGGCCTGTTCACACGACGCTTGTTAACTTCCCGTAGGGTAAGTTATACTAATAGCGAAAAAATCGAAAATTAAAATTTATATATATCTTCACGTTTCAAAGGTTTCTGAATCTTTTGGCGTACCTTAGAAAAATTGATGTTTGTGTGTGTGTGTGTATGTGTGTGTGTGTGTGTTAGGATACAAATCGGCGATTTCGGGAACATGGATTAACCTATTTGAATAATTCAAAAAACATTTGATTCGTATTAATAAGGAGACGCACTGATTAGTTTTTGGCGAAGGTAGGTCTAGCCGTTCCGAATATTTATTTATTATTCTAATTATTTATCTATCTAATTTTCTCTAATTTTCTGAATTTTTCACAAATGATTCCAGATATATTTTCACTCTCCTTACCTTTTTTTGAAAAACTGACTTATTTAGTGATCTTTAAATTTTATAAAGTTTTTGTCTCTAGGAACATACAGGTCTGGTAGATATTTATGTCGTAAAGTATTTACGTGATTTTTAATTAGTTTTAATTTTAAAAAAAATTTTTAGCAGTCGCGATTTTAACTGTAAATTATAATTAAGCGCCAAGAAAAATGCATACTGTTATTTCGTTGGGAAAACTGGATGCAAGCCTATTGCATCCATCATTTTACCTTATTGAAATAATTTTTTTAGATTTCTGTATTCAATCCTATTTCTAGAACTATCAATTGGTCATGATCATATGAGATATTTTGCAATATTTCTTTACAGTAATTCAGTGGACAGTTTTCCGGGAACGTTTATTAATTCTCGGTTTCAAAAAGACAAAGGTTACTACTTACGTTGCAAAGGTTTTGAAATCTTTGTTTGGTTTGTGAAATTAATATATCCAAACAGCAATAGTATACAATAAAATAAGATTTTGGGTCTAAAATTCTCTCATCTTGTGACAATAACGCTTCATTATCTTTTGTATTGTGTTCTTTAAAATAGTAATTGCAATCCATCTTTTGATACGGCTGATACGGCGGTAGTTACGCCCCTGTTCCGTACCAAGATTTTTAATTACGGTACGGGAAGCTCCAGCAGGTTTGGTCTGCTGGCTAGAATGCAGGTTGTCAAGTAGGCAAAATGACGTCGTATCGATCTTCATTTGTTTCCAGCAAGCGAAATTTTGATATTAGAACGTGCGCTATTTTTGCGGATGGATCATAGACCTATGAAAAAGCCCAAATCGCACGGCCTTTGTTTTCTGAGATTGTGAGAGATATTTGTGGATTGATTTATTCGTTCGATCCAATAGGGAGGCGCATTTGGTTACGTGATTTATAATATTTGAAAATCTAATAAGCTAAAACAAATCTCATTCAAAGAAACGACCTTAGAAAATGATCATGGAATCTAGCGCCGGCATCCGCGACAAAATCAACCATGCTGTCCAGCCCAGAAAACAAGCGTCGTGTGAACAGGCATTAACTCTGAACGGGATTTCTAGGCTTATATCTGTTTTTTCTTGATACGAAGTAAGATCTGAAAGAATGATCACTCAATATTGAGCTTAGATTTTGAAAAATGCCAAATTATTAACTTCCCGTAGGATAAGTTATTGTAATCGTCCAAAAATCGAAATTGAAAATTTTTGCATTGCTCGATGTTTTGAAGCTTGCTGAACATTTTGGCATACTTCAGAAAAAGGTATGTGTGTGTGTATGTATGTATGGATAGAAGTTTCCAGTCAAGTTTTCGGGCGCATGGATCAACCGAATTGAATGGTTCAAAAAACATTCGATTTCTATTGATAGGTATATGTGCTGATTAGTTTTTGGCAAAGGCTGGTACAGCAGTTACGGAGATAAAGAGCAAGGAGTGCAGAAAATAGAAGAGGAGTTTTTAAGAGAACGAAACATCCGATTTGAATGATCTAAAAAACATTCAATTAGTAATGATTGGGAGAGGTGGTTGTTAGTTTTTGGCAAATGCAGGCCCAGCCATTTCAAAGATACAGAGCTAAATGTGAAAAAATGGCAGTTTTTGAGAGAAAAAAGCGTCCGATTCGAATGATTCAAAGAACTGCTGCTTGTTTTAACAAAATAATTGATTTTGAAAAAAAAAATTCAATTTTTTTCTTTCATTTCTTTTTTTTTTAATTTTTTTTGTATATCGAAAATAATTCAGATTATAATTTTATTTCTGACTAAAGTTCTAATATGCTTTAAACAAATAATTTCAACTTTGCAATTCAGTTTATATATTTCTTATTAATATTAGATAATGCTACAGTATTTATTTATAATAATCTATTTGAAAATATTTAATACTCATCGAACATTTCTTTACGGTACAAGAAGTTCCAGCAATTTGCCTCAAGGCACGATGCCATACACCCAACTAGTTTTTCTGAGCATTTGATGGAGTTGTTTTTTTTTTTAAGATCAGCATTTGAGATACCAAATATATTTCAAAGTATACTTTTTTGATTAAACTACATATTCAAAATAAAAACATGTTAAGAGGTTATAAAATGTGTCTTGATTCAAAGTTTTGATCTCTTTAAGGAATGCTAAAGCCAATTGAATCAGAGACGCGCGAATTACGTATGTTGGACGGTATATGGAATTTTCGGCTATCGCCTGCAAATGATCCCTTACTCGGGTTTAGACAGAGATGGTTTGAAAGACCACTATTTGAGGTAATTTATTTATAATTATAAAGTCAGATTTATACTCATATTTATATATATATATGTATATATATATATATATATATATATATATATATATATATATGTTAAGTATGAGCAATACAATACTATTTTTAACAAACACTTTATTTGATAATTATAGACGTTTCGATACCATGCTATGCTTTATCTTCAGTGCAATTTCAAAACAGTTACTTACAATCAATATATATATATATATATATATATATATATATATTGATGTAACAGTTACTTACAATTACTAATAACAGTTACTAATAAGTTTTGAAATTACAATGAAGGTGAGCCATATCATGGTGTCGAAACGTCTGTTAGTACCAAATAAAGTGTGTGTTAAATATCTGAGTGTTGTATTGTTCATATTTAACATTTATCATTCGTTCCACTTATATCACAAAATTCTATAATATTCTTTATACATATATATATACACAGGGACGGTCCTGCCTTGCATGCAAAAAATGCGGGCGCACGCCTTAGGGGGCGCCAAAACGAGTTTCGGAAATTAATTTTTTAATATATTATTTATATTTTTTATTATTTATATAAAATCTGGAATACTTAATAAATTATAATAAACAATATAACTTAACAAGGTATACGGAGACACAAAAATCATATTTATTTTGCAATGTGATATCGGTAGAAACGATTAACCGATCAATAACTCTGCAAGTAAGTAAATATCCGCTCTATTTATTGCTTATTCTACTCATTCAATTTTTTCTTTATTTGAAGTTGCCGTGGAATCGAAAAAGAAATTATCTAGTGTTCAATCCCGTAAGCGCAAATCTGCGAAAAATTATTAATTATTGAGCATTATTATAAACAAATTATAATCGAGAAAATAAAAAATGCGCAGTCAGTTCTCAGAAAATGTTTATTCCGAATAATTGAATTTTAACTTTTGTTTTTGTTGCAAATGTTTCGCATTTGATGAACTTTGAATGTTGAGGGTTATGGAAATGGAACAAATATAAAAAATGAAAGCAAAATTTACTTTGGAACGAAAATCTTAAGGCTTTTTTTATACCTAGTGGTGTCCATACTCTAAATTTAAGAATTATTAACTATGCGGAAATAATACATATCAAATATAATGAGTTTTTTTTTTTAATATAATTCAAGAAATGTGTAATTTCTTTGCATTTTTCACAGATTTTTGGACAATACTTCTAAAATACGTTACTTGATCACAATCACAATTGAAACAATCTGATACCCTGAATGTGATGGGAAAGAAAGGATGAATATAATTCGGGTTTTACGATATCAATAAAGAAAAGTTTACGACGCAATTTTGGATACAGAAATAATGAAAAATTAAATTAAATTAAAATTAAAAAAATCTAACATGAAATACGAGTGTTATAATTGAATATGAAAAGCTAGTTTTTTTAGCTCTCTTGGCATGCTCAATAAAATAAATCGAATAATAAATAAGTAAAATGTTTTAAAACCCAAATATTAATATTGCACATACGTTAAAAATAATTAAAAATTTAAAAATATATGATTATAATCAACTCGCGAATCGCCTCGATTTTCTAAATAAATTTAAAGTCTATGTATTTTATACGCTTTTAGTTATCTAGTTTTTTGTGTACTAAATCCAGAATAATTTAAAAAAATGTAAATATTCATATAATTTTAATGATAAACTGTTAAAACAGTTAAAATTAATAGGGGAGGGGGCGCCAGAAAAAAAGTTGCATGCGGGCGCAAAGGACCCCAGGACCGGCCCTGTATATACACACATATATATATATATATATATATATATATATATATATATAAACCTCGTGTCACGATGTTGGTTCGCGATGGACGCCCATACTACTGAACCAATTTTCAATTTTATTGGCTCATGTTTTGCATATATATCCAACTTAGGTTATAGGAATTATTGAAAAGTAAATTTGAAATATAAATACATAATTTTTATAAAAATTTTGACAAAAAATGACTAAAAAAAACAAAACATTATTGTGATATGAATATTATCATATTATATTAATTTTCGACCATGAAGGAAATATTTTGATATTTATAAACTTAGTGCAAATTGGATATACGAAATTACTATTTTTCAATTAAAAGCAAATATAACCTATATTTATATGAAAAATTGTATATTTAGATAAAGATACTGCGTGGATTTAGACTAAAATCTAATTTATTCGTTAATTTAAAAAAAAATGACATAAACAAAATTAAAATAAACAAAACACTACGATGCGTTGGAATTAATTATCGAAGTGTAAAGAAATTTGTGTAATTAAAATATATTTTTATTAGATCTATATATATATATATATATATATATATATATATATATATATATATATATGAGTGAGTTCTTGAGGGCGATACATCAAACAAAGAAAAGTATAAATGTTAGTGCCAATCTCTAGTGCTGTGTACACTTCTCTATATGTAACCAACCAACGTAATATCCACTGATGATGACATTAAATTGAATGTCGAAACGTTTGGAAATAAAGATTATTTTATAAATCTTTGGCTTTTCTTTGTTTGATGTATCGCCCTCAAGAACTCACTCACATATTTCAACATCAAAATTAACTACTAAATCATATATATATATATATATATATATATATATATATATATATATATATATATGTTAGAGAAGTTAGTTTTGATGTTGAGAAATATGAGTAAGTTCTTCAAGGGCATACATCAAATAAAAGGCAAAGATTTAGAAGTTAATCTTTAATTTTTCCAAACGTTTCGACATAGTATTTTATGTCATCATCAGTGGATATAAATATGGTCTTACATCAGTTGCTAGCGCAAGGCACATAATTTTGCACTATTATATATACACTAACTTGTTTTTTTTATTATTATTTTGTTGAACAGAGCATAGCAAAATATTTGTGAAATATATAATATATTTTGCACAGAGAACGTAGTTTATGTGACCGAGCCCGAGGCTGTAGTGACTGACTACAAAACAAAAAGTTATGTAACATTAGTTTTGAAGCTATGACTCTTGAAATAAAAAATAGTTTTTCCTACATTTCTTCTATCAAATCTAAAATTGAAAATTTAAAAAATGTTTTAACCTCTATTTTAGAACCTCTTATTGTAGAAAATTTTCTAGAATTTGAGAATTTAAAATATGACAGAATTTCTACAAAATTAAAATTGGCTCACATGAAAAAATTTGATAAGCTTTTAGATAATTTTAATTAATCGAATGTACCGTTGATAAGTGAAAATTTAATAGATAAATGGCTTAAAAACTATTCTAATACTCCTATCCCCTCAAACTTGAAGTATATTTTTGCCCTTGGTCCTAAATTTTCTCTTCCGCCTCTCAAATCCAATTTTAATTTTATTAAGGTACTTAGTAATTTGGAGTTTGGTTTAAAAAAATTGAACAACCCAGATAAAGATCCTTGTGTTGTAACAAACTTTTATCCTTCATCAAAAAGAATAATTCAAATTTTAGTTCCCTTCCTTTACATTTAGAAATTGTTAGAGATTTAAAATTTTGCAAAAAGTTTTTGAGGGATAATCCAGATATCTTAGTTACCAGAGCTGATAAGGGCAACCTTACTGTGGTTTTGGATAGGTCGGATTATTTTTCAAAAACTTACGATTTATTAAACAACGAAACTTTTTATAAACCTTTAACTAACGACCCCACCGATCATTTAAACAGACAAACGCACAAACTCATTGGCAATTTAATCACAAAAAAACAAATCTCCAAATTATTAGGTTTTTCTTTAAAAGTCTTTCATTCCAGTTTTCCCAAGTTGTATTGTCTTCCTAAAGTTCACAAACCTAATTTACCTCTCAGACCTATAGTTTCCGACTTGAATTCTCCTTTAAGTAAACTCTCCAAACATATCAGCTCCATTCTCTCTAAGGTTTCTGTTTTATCAAAATTTAATGTTTCCAATTCTTTTAATTTAGTAAAAAAATTAAATAATTTTACAATTCCTTCCAATTCTTCCTTTGTTAGTTTTGATGTCATTTCCCTTTTCACGAATATTCCTTGGGATTTGGCTTTAGAAGCTGTTTCTGTCCGTTGGAACGATATCCAACCGCACACTTCGATTGACTTGGTTTGGTTTAAGACGATTTTAAATTTCATTTTTGTTAACACTTACTTTTGTTTTGATGATCAATTTTATTCGCAGATTTTTGGTTTACCCATGGGGTCTAGTATTAGCCCCCCTGTGGCTGATTTAACACTACAAATTTTAGAAAATTTTGTTTTATCTAATCTTTCTGTTCCACCTCACCTTTATTATAGATATGTTGATGACGTTCTGTTGTGCCTTGACGATTCTCACATTGTAGACACATCAGACTCTTTTAATTCTTTTAATAAACATTTGCAATTCACCTGTGAGATTGAGTCGGATGACTCTATTAGTTTTTTAGACCTAAGAATTGCTAAAAATAAAGAAAACAATTCCGTCCTGACTGATTGGTATCAGAAACCAACGTGGTCAGGAAGATATTTAAATTATCTGTCTTTTCATTCGCGTTTCATTAAAATTTCTGTCATTATCTCTCTTATAGACAGGGCTATTTCACTTAGTAACAGTATGTTTTGGGAAAAAAATTTGACCCTTATTCGTTCTGTTCTCAAAGATAATAGTTACCCTTCGCACTTGGTCAACAACATCATTAATAATAGATTAAATTATTTACAAACGAATTTTAATAATTCATTTTCACCTTCTTGTTCAAATTCAATAGCTTCTTCTTCATCCCAATACAAAGGAACTATCTGTTTACCATTTTTAAGCGGTTTTTCGTATTTTTTAAAAAAGTTATTTGCTTCAGAGGATTCCGTTTAGTTTTTAGTTTTGATAATACTTTTAATTGCCTTTTTTCGGTTCTTAAGTCTGGAACCCCGTCTGATAGGGTCACCGATTCTGTTTACAGGTTGGATTGCAATGATTGCAATATGTGTTATA